GTATTGGATAGCAGTTTGATGGTATGCACATATCAGCCCTGACTGACCCCAAGGGGCTGATGGGTGGGGCCAAAAAGGGTTGAATTGACTGAAATTTCAAAAATCTTCTTCTCAAGACCCAGATGTGGTAGAATCAAATACTCTTCATAGATGTATGGGTTTTAAAGTGCTCTACCAAAATTGTGAATGTTATGACCCTAGGGTCTCACGTATACCCNGGGGGGGGGGGGGGGCAAAATTTATTTTGTCAAATGATACTTTGAATATTACATGTTGATAACTTGATTGGAATTATAACCCTGAGTTGTCAGTTTGATACTTTGAACATTTTGAGCCAGCTCTACCCCCAAAGGCACCAAAAGGAGTCAGTGTGCTAAAATTTCTTCATTTTCCTTGTTTAGAATCAGAGGTGCTAAATTCAAATACTTTTCAGTCTTAAATCTGTATGCTAGATATTGAATAAGGTTGTTTTATTGTTTTTTGTCACTTTGAATAATACTTCTGTTCATGTTTTAAAAACAAAAATCAACTCTCTGTATAAATATATCAGAACTCGGGTGACCGTTAAGGCCCATGGGCCTCTTGTCTTGGAATGTGATGATGAGTTAAGTAACGTGATCTAAAAAAGTAAGAAGGCTGTTTGGACATTATGTGCCTCATAACCTAGGATACCGTGTTACGTTGGAGGTACAGTATATATTTTGCTGTTGCAGCTATACCAATGGAAGACGATGGCAGCATATCGGAAGCCTTTACGGATGTAGAGAGAATGTTCAGCTGTTTTATCTCATCCTACGGGGGAAAAATCAGGGAGGATGTCATTACATTTGCCGTTGAAATAAACAAGTAATATTCTACTTTATTACTTTTTATCAATTTCAGTTTCTACCTTGATAACAAATCACCTGTTCATGGTGGCTAAGATTGTTTGTGATCTGCTTTCTAACAGGAATCATCAAAACAGGTGCCACATGTGTTTTAAGGAAAACTTCATGATGGCATTCCTTTTGTTTTGGTGTCTCATCAGTTCCTGCCATTGTCAACTGTTTTTTTGGAAATTGTTTCAGTGTCTTTGCGATGCTATAGACTACATTTTTATATGCTCATCTTTTCTGGGCATATATTGGTGTCATCTAGTCTGTGCCTGTTCACATTTGACTTCTACACAGCTCCTGATGAAAGCTTTCAACCAATTTTCATGAAACTTCACATAGGTACTCCTGAAATCAAATTATGAAGCTCAGTTTAAGGGCAAAGTCATAAATTAAGGTCAAGGTCATAGTTACAAAATCTACACATGATAATAGGAAAATCTTATATTTAGCTAGTTCACAGGCTGAACATTTTATCCAAATTTCTTGAAACTTCACACATCTAATCCCAACCCCAGTCTCTTAGATCTATTAAAATTCAAGGTCATGTGTTTGAGGTTAAGGTCATGCCATGAATGGCTAAATTCCCGGGTGTAACCCGACGAAATCGGGTCACTTGGCAGGTATGTCATGGCTACAGAATCCTGAAGTACCCAACATCCGACTTTTGGGATATACCCGTTTTTTGTCTGTTTACCAGACCTACTTTTCAGACTTATCTTTTCTAATAAGAGATTATGATTATTTTTCCTTCAGAAAATGCAAACTTATGAGACATTGGGTGGAATTCATACAGCCATCTTCGTGGAGCCGAATCAGTTCCATTGGTCTGGACTCCTGTTTACAAGAGCTAAGACGGGGACAGGAGGCCCGGAAGGAAGTACTTGAGGTGTCAAGTCTAGCAGCATTCTATCAGCCAGTGTGTGCCAGCCTCATTCCTGTGACATCAAAAGCACTTAATGACCTGCTTTCAGGACTTGATCAACCACTAGCATCGTACGTTTTATCAGATTCCACATTTATTACCATTTATACCCCTACTTAGGAGAGGGGATGTCAGTGTGTCCTCCAATCCGTCAGTAGTAAAAAGCTTGTGCTCAAGATATCTTATGAACATCTTAGTAGATTGTTTATATTCACACCATAGTATGGTAGTAGTATCAAGTTAACCTGATTTGATTTTGGTGGTCATCGTTCAAGAGTAAAGGGTCCAAAGTCACGCTTGACCACTTTTCAGGTAAAAAATTTGTGTGCCAGATATCTAACACTTAGTTTTACACATGATTAAATTGTGGTAGTCATCGGTCAAGGTTAAATGGTCAATGGTCATTCTTCCTCTCTGCAATCCATTTTCTGTCTAATTGGAAGTAGGGTGTGTGTGTGTGTGTGTGTATATTTATGTGAAACCCGCTTACTTCATCTCAGACTAATGTCCTGTGGTATTTTGTCCCTGATACTGTCCTGGTATGACACCTAGTTGCTTATGTAATCTCTGTTTTACTATTCTTTACTGCCCTCTTTTTTCACACAGGAAATACGATGAAGCACTACCGGTAATGCTGCTGCGATTCGACAATCTGGTGTTGTACGGCAGTGACCAGTCAATCGCTGCACAGTACAGACTAGGCGTAGTCATACTGAAGAAGCTCCTCCTCATGTCGTCACACGTAAATCCTTCTCTTTTACCGTTTCATATCGAACATTGAAAAATGCTCTTAAAAATATGGAAATTCTGGATCTAGAAAATTTGACAGGAGTGGCATCTTCCCCTAATTATATACATCAATAAGAAAGATGTTATATCTAGTGACCCATGATGACCTGTGCTTCATAGGCACCTTTCTAAATCTGTTGCTTATACAGTTAGCTAGTGGAAGTTTCTAGAAGGGTTTGGTAATTATTTTAAAATTATAAAATTTGCAGTTTAAATAAGTGGTTATATGATTGGAGTGTTAAAGTATAAATTCATGTTTGATCGGGAATCACAGATGAAGAAGACTTGTTAAAGCCTTGTTTTCCCCTGTCTGTGCCAGCCTTGTTTTCTCCTGTCTGTGCCATCCTTGTTTTCCCCTGTCTGTGCCCAAACAAACCTTTGTTCCTTGTTAAAGCCTTGTTTTCCCCTGTCTGTGCCATCCTTGTTTTCCCCTGTCTGTGCCAGCCTTGTTTTCACCTGTCTGTGCCAGCCTTGTTTTCTCCTGTCTGTGCCATCCTTGTTTTCCCCTGTCTGTGCCAGCCTTGTTTTCCTCTGTCTGTGCCCAACCAAACCTTTTTTCCTTGTTAAAGCCTTGTTTTCCCCTGTCTGTGCCATCCTTGTTTTCCCCTGTCTGTGCCCAAACAAACCTTTTTTCCTTGTTAAAGCCTTGTTTTCCTCTGTCTGTGCCAGCCTTGTTTTCCCCTGTCTGTGCCCAAACAAACCTTTGTTCCTTGTTAAAGCCTTGTTTTCCCCTGTCTGTGCCAGCCTTGTTTTCTCCTGTCTGTGCCAGCCTTGTTTTCTCCTGTCTGTGCCAGCCTTGTTTTCTCCTGTCTGTGCCATCCTTGTTTTCCCCTGTCTGTGCCAGCCTTGTTTTCACCTGTCTGTGCCAGCCTTGTTTTCCCCTGTCTGGCTGTGCCCAAACAAACCTTTTTTCCTTGTTAAAGCCTTGTTTTTCCCTGTCTGTGCCCAAACAAACCTTTTTTCCTTGTTCAAGCCTTGTTTTTCCCTGTCTGTGCCCAAACAATCCTTTTTTCCTTGTTAAAGCCTTGTTTTCCTCTGCCTGTGCCAGCCTTGTTTTCCCCTGTCTGTGCCTGCCTTGTTTTCCCCTGTCTGTGCCAGCCTTGTTTTCTCCTGTCTGTGCCATCCTTGTTTTCCCCTGTCTGTGCCAGCCTTGTTTTCCTCTGTCTGTGCCCAACCAAACCTTTTTTCCTTGTTAAAGCCTTGTTTTTCCCTGGCTGTGCCCAAACAAACCTTTTTTCCTTGTTAAGGTGGCTCCACACTTTCGTAATTAACCAGCGAAACTCGTTGAAACTTTCATATAATGGTTATTCAACTATGTAGAGTTGATTTCATGAAAATCTAAACACTCCGATAGTTAGGGGACTTTTTTGGAAAAAATACCAAAAAATTGAATTTTCGTCAATTTTAATATTTTCCGTTTTTTTTGGGTGTGACATTGTTCGGAACAATAACAACAATAATAAAATGAAAAGAAGCATTTCTAATTAACCATACAAATATTTTATTTATCGCAAAATATGTAACACATGTTACACAAAGTGTTTTTTTATTGAATTTGAACGGATAAAAGTTATTATCTACAAGCTAAAAGCCAACAGAACACAAAGATCTATACATATAGAATGGGAAATTGAACAAAATATACACAATGGCTTTATAATTAATTTATTTTACATTTTACAATCACTTCGATCCGGGTAAGAGTTATCTTCCTTGAAAAAAATCGGAACTTTTTGCAGAGGGGTGACATTTACACAATGACAGTTGTCCCTGTTTACATATAACAAAAATGATGGAAATAAATCAAAAATATGATATCAAAATTATCAATTTATTGTTCTTTAATGGAACCAAATTACCCTCAGTCATGTACACTTTGGACATCATTCCACAGTCCGCTAACTCACGGTATATTTATAATTACATGTCAGGTACATATGTGACCAGAGGCTATCGCATGGTATGCCGTTCTCACGTGCACTCACACATGCATTTCATAGGTATCTTGATATTTTACAAAACATTATTTTCACAGAGTAAGTAGACTACATTTGTAAACACGATTTAATCGACAGAGCGAAACTCCCTCAACAGCGAAAATCGTAACGACCTCGAGCTTATGAACTCGTGTTGCACATGTGAGGTCGGTACGTCCGCATTCCATGCGTTTCCTATATGACCTTCTTGAGGTCGTTTGGTCTCATGTCACTATCTTCCCGTGAGTCTGTTTATGTCTATGAATTTGAAAGCTTTATTCCTGAAATACGTGTGATTATACATTTCCCGGTAAAATCTCGATATCGGGTGTTGACATATCATCGGCACGCACGTGTACTATTGTTTACCAGGGGCCTGTTCGTTTATGCGGAGCAACCGGTTTGACCGTTTATAAATGTAACAATTTCGGGTATAAATCCTGGCGGACCTGCAAATGTGTATGCAGGCCTTGCAAGGCTTTCTCAAGGCTCGCCTGAAAGCAGCATCAGATTACTAGGTCCGACCTTATTTAATAAACGAACAACAGTGGTCCGATCGGTTTGACCGTTTAAACGAAAACGGCCAAGGTGTAACTATAATTTGCACAACGACATTGAATGCCCGATACGCAATACGGAAATGACGACACGGTGTACATGCACATTTCGATCAAGATAATTGAGTCCGAGCTGTACTTTTTCCGGAAGTACGTCACGAAAATGGACGCTGATGACGATGTGTGGAGCCACCTTAAAGCTATGTTTTCCCCTGTCTGTGCCCAAACAAACCTTTCTTCCTTGTTAAAGCCTTGTTTTCCCCTATCTGTGCCAGCCTTGTTTTCCCCTGTCTGTGCCAGCCTTGTTTTCCCCTGTCTGTGCCCAAACAAACCTTCCTTCCATGTATCCTAATGAACATTGTTCTGTTGTATGCAGGTTCATATAGCACAACCAGTAAAATGTTGGAAAGCTATGTTTTTTTTCATTTGTACCTCAATCAACCTTGTGTTTAAAAACACTAACAAGGATATTCTCTAACTGCCAAAAGCGTATCTACTACAGCTTTCCACCATTACCCGTGTCTGAATAAACCTTGTTTCTAAATTTTTTAACATTTCATATAAGTGTGTATTATAACAGATGTTTTGTACTTTACAGCTTTCCATACTTGGACATAAGTCTCCTGCGTTTAAAGCATTACAGCTCCAGAAAGGTAATCACCTTCTCTGCAGGCCTTTAATAATTTTCCCACTGGTTCTATCACAGGGGACTATAAGTGTGCCTTCGATCTGTCTGTCAGCCTGCCCATTAGTTGTATGTCGATTTGATTGATTGATTGATTGATTGATAGGTTTTACGTCTGCTTCACTACCGCGTATTTCGGTTATCCAGCAGACATGTCGATTTGTCTGGGCCATATCTCATATACTCATTCCACCTACAACTGCCAAGTTTTGTTTTTCAAAACAAAGGGCCATAACTCTGTATATAAAGATGCGGGAGACCTGATTTCAATATCTAACCTTCTGCCATTCTAAGAGGTACTGAAAAACAAAACTTGGCAGTTGCAGGTTGACAGAGAATATGAGATATGGTCCACACAAATCATTGTTTTACAGGGGACTGTAAGTTTGCCTTCGATCTATCTGTCAGTCTGCCATTCATTTGTATGTGGATTGACCTGGGCCATATCTCATATCTCATATAGCTCATATACTTGGCAGTTGCAGGTTGACAGTATATGAGATACAGCCCATACAAATCATTGTTTTACAGGGGACTGTAAGTTTGCCTTGGATCTGTCAGCCTGCCATTCATTTGTATGTGGATTGACCTGGGCCATATCTCATATCTCATATAGCCCATATACTTGGCAGTTGCAGGTTGACAGAGTATATGAGATACAGCCCACACAAATCATTGTTTTACAGGGGACTGTAAGTTTGCCTTGGATCTATCTGTCAGCCTGCCATTCATTTGTATGTGGATTGACCTGGGCCATATCTCATATACTCTGCCACCTACAGCTGCCAAGTGTTGTTATGCAGTACCTCTTGGGATGGCAGAATGTTAGATACTGAAATAAGGTCAGAGTTATGGCCCTTTGTTCACTGTATCACTTTGTGTATATCTCATATGTCAGTACCTCTAAGGATGGCAGAGATAGTTTTGCACAAAACAATTGGGTCTTATACCCTAGCTACTCTTTAAAGAGCTATGACCCTTTTCTTTATTTTTGATGCCAAAGTTTGTCTACAGGGGGAGGGGGGCTAGGGTTTGCTTACATATTCTTTGCCTTGTTCATAATGAAGAGGAAAATATAGGACATACTAATTGTAGTTAGCTGAATACATTGTAGATACTAACAATATCGTGTAATAGTGTTTTAAATATAGGCCTGTTTTTAATTTGCCATGTTTTTCACTTTCAAGACATTGGTGATAAGAACAATTTTCAAACCTAACACCAGAGTAGATTATTGTCGTAAATCTGACCGTTTCATGTGACAAGCGTCAGTGACATCAAAGATGTTATATACGGGTGATTTTTTTTTTTTCTCAAACAAGAAAAGGTGTAAAGTATCATTGTTTTGAAACCATAGATGATGACTTGGGACCTTCTGAAGCCAAAAAAGCAAGACTTGAAGCAGAGGACTCAGCACAGGTTACACTTGAAGCAGAGAACTCAGCACAGGTTACGTTACCAGAGGTTGGTTTAAATCCACATGTACTGACTGAGTCAATCACTCTCTACATATTTGTTAATTGAGATGTTTTCTTCAATTTTTGTGATTGATTTTTTGAAACTTTGATTCTTGGCAATCAGACAGAGAAAGATAAAACTGTATAATACATTAACTTCTTGAGCGTAGCAAACCATTACCATGTATTATTTACGTCTGAAATCTTTGATAGTTTTTATTTTACCGGTAGTAAATCATATTTTTGTTAGATACAGGTCTCATATTTAACTTTCCGGATTGCATATTGAACACCAAAGTTGATAGATGACAATTGACAATATTTTGTGAAGTCTTGGCATACACTGTCTTATTTTGCAAACAATTTCTTATACATGGTATATATATATATATATATTTTGCAGAGGCAGATGACATACGCAATGTTATACATATGTTTCATCCTGGTGAAGACAAAATATTTGAAAAAAATGAATCAGGAGGAACCATCGTTGCAAGTTGTCATAGACTCCATGTTTCGTGCTATAGAACTGGGTCGATTTCGACCTCTGTCACCTGGTCACAACGATGAATCACTAGACTATGAAGAGTTTTGCTGGTTACATGAACTTGAGAATGAACTGAAGCTATCGTTCATATTTGAGTGTGGGCAGAGTCACCAGGTGGAACAGTGCTATGTGAATGCTCTGCTGGAGCAGGGAACATGTTTTTATGGCAACGACATGCCTATTGCATTGCTTCACATGTTGGTAAAGGCCCAAAGTGGCTCAGACAATGAAGATACTTTTGTTAAGATCTGTTTGGAGGCAGTGTGTTTTTCCACAGCACCATTCAAGGGAGAAAATCCAGGTAAATGTGTTTTTAGCTCACCTGGCACGAAGTGCCAAGTGAGCTTATGCCGTGGCGCGGCGTCCGTCGTCCGTTCATCGCCGTCTGTCCGTCCGTCCGTCCGTCCGTCCGTCCTCATCCGTCAACTTTTCCTTTAAACAACTTCTTCTGAAGAACGGACAGGCCTAGAGTCATGATATTTGGCTGAAAGCTTTGTTGGTAGGAGCCCTACAAAGTTTGAGAATGAAAACTAGTTTGACCTACTTTCAAGGTCACAGGGGTCATATATGTCAAAAGCTTCAAAGGACTTCTTCTGAAGAACTGAAAGGTATAGAATCTTTATTTTTGATTGATGGCTTCCTTGGATAGAGCCCAACAAAGTTTGAGAATGAAAATGACCTTGACCTTCTTTAAAGGTCACAAGAGTCAAATGTGTCAGACACTTCAAACGACTTCTTCTGAAGAACTAAAAGGTATAGAATCTTCATATTTGGCTGATGGCTTCCTGGGATAGAGCCTAACAAAGTTTGAGAATGAAAATTACCTTGACCTTCTTTCAAGGTCACATGGGTCAAATGTGTCAGACACTTCAAACGACTTCTTCTGAAGAACTGAAAGGTATAGAATCTTTATATTTGGTTGGTGGCTTCCTGGGATAGAGCCCAGAAATGTTTGAGAATGAAAATTAGCTTGACCTACTTTCAAGGTCACAGGGGTGATATATGTCAAAAGCTTCAAATGACTTCTTCTGAAGAACTGAAAGGTATAGAATCTGTATTTTTGATTGATGGTTCCTTGGATAGAGCCCGACAAAGTTTGAGAATGAAAATGACCTTGACCTTCTTTTAAGGTCACAGGAGTCAAATGTGTCAGACACTTCAAACGACTTCTTCTGAAGAACTGAAAGGTATAGAATCTCTATATTTGG